TTTGAACACACTTCACATATGGTTGGCTCTATCAGGATATTTGGATATCGTTGATGAGGCTTTGAAGGCGTTTCGAGTGGACATTCTGGCCCTTGGCACTTACCGTGGAACTGAAGGAGGAGGAGGAGGAGGTCCTCATATGCGTGACAGTGAGACGACTTGAAGCACTTGGTGACGGCGCTGAGAGTGTCACCGTGTAGGGTTCCGAACAATGGACAACTATGACCGAGTTATGACCTACCTTATGGTGTGGATACATCGATGCCTCTGTATCACCATTGAGGCTATTCGGGATGGTGACACGCAGAGTGACGCTACAGGTGATCCTCGTCAGTAGCATAAATTCCTGCATCAGATGGTTGCTTATTCCTGTCAGATAACAACAGTGGCAGATGCAGCCAAAGCGGTGGTAGAATGTCCAAGGACAGACTGCTGTGGATCCTCAAGGATGCCTCTATTGATGCCGATAAGGATGGGGAGTCCATCAGTGACTGGAAACGTGAGTGGTCGGCAACTAGCAGGAAGAGACGTTTCCACTTGCAGGAACATTGTTGCTGCTGAGAGAAGAGACAGATGTTAGTTCAATATCTTCGGATGACCTCGAGGACCTAGGTGCCTACTTTCTGCATCTCCGCAACATCACCGTGGATCGGTGAGTTCGTCTTGGTCGAGTTGTTTTGCAGCCCTATTGTGTAGGTTGGTACGTAGACATCTATATGGTGGCGAGCGAGAAGGAGGCCCTTCACAGTGTTGGTTGCAATATGCGAGACTCATTAGTGTTGGTCAGAATTAATAACGGTATTGTCACTAATTGTCGGCTGTGTTCGTGTTGTGTTCGTAACATGTGGTTGACTTTGTGTTAACGCTAGAGCCTCCACAGACCGCATAGTGCCGCTCCCTTCCTACTCATCGAGACAATGCCAGTTGGCTCTACTACGACGTACAGGGAGGATCCCCGATGTTTGTAATAATCGCCCTTCTTAGTGTAGTGGAAGTTATTCGATCAGCTTGATCATTTTTCTCGGGGGGAATGTCATACATAATGCGTGTTTAGGATGTGGCAGTGGTTGGCTGCTTTCATCAGGTACAGCGCTTTGGGCCTCACTCGAACGGCATCAGAGGTGGAGATCAAACGAGCATATCGACAACAAGCGCTGGTGGGCCCTTCTTCGTCTCCTTGTTGCTGTTGTTGTTATTGTTATTGTTATTGTTATTGTTATTGTTATTGTTATTGTTATTGTTATTGTTATTGTTATTGTTATTGTTATTGTTATTGTTATTGTTATTGTTGTTGTTGTTGTTGTTGTTGTTGTTGTTGTTATTATTGTTGTTGTTGTTGTTGTTGTTGTTGTTATTCGTGTTGTTATTCGTGTTGGTGTTCATCTCGCTGCTGTTATTGTTGTTCATGTTGTTACTGTTGGAATTTCCCCATCTTCCTCTTGTTAGAGGTGGCATCCCGACAAGAACCAGGACAATATCGATGAGGCCACTGAGAGGTTCCAGCAGATTGGAAGAGCCTATGAGATCCTCGGGGACTCACAGAAGAGGCGAAGGTACAACGTCAACGATATCTTCCTTTGGGCTATCCCTCGCAGGTATGACCTTGAGGGAAGTATTGATGATGATGCCGCTTTCGAGGAGCAGAACATGGACGACTTCCTAGTACAGCTTTATAATTGCTGTTCGCTCTCGTACGTGCTGTTTTAGAACCTCTTCGCAGGAGCAATGGGAGGAGGCTTCATGGGACCAGGAGTAGTGTATTTGACTGCCCTTTGGAATCGCTTAGAATCGCTGTTGTTTCTTTAGGTCTTCTTTGGTGGTGGGGGAGGATTCTTCGGTGGTCCACAATTCTATACAGTGGATTCCGATGATGATGACGACGATTATGATGAGGAAGACTTTTTCGATGTATGTCCTTTTCTGTTGGTGTACTTCTCACACGTGCCCGTAGGGAGTGTGGAGCATACCTCTAGTGATGTTCTCAATAATCGCCTTCCATTCTCACACGTATGTTTATTAGGAGCTTCTCGGTGGTGGTCGTAGTAGCCGCACTCGGCATAGAAGGGATGTTACGGAGGACTTCATAGCGGCTATGATGTTCGATCGGATATTCACAGTAACAACACTGAGTGGATGATACGGCTTTCCAAGTTCGGTCCTTGTCAGCACGGGTGGCATCGTAGCGGCGATGATGAGGATTGGGAGACTGTCGAAGAGGAAGACGACGATGATGATGACGACGATGACGACTCCCTATTAGAAGTTCTCTTTTTGGACCGCTTCGCGCATCCTGTGATGAACCAGCCGACTCGAGGTAAAGAGGAGTTCGGTTGTTATTATGTTATTATTATTAATCTATCATGTAGGTGGACCTATGAGATTCAAATGTGGAGTATGTCGCTCTTGCTTGGCGGGTAAGCTAGGGCCTCACCGGTTCGCAGTGTGCTTGTGGTGAATCTCTATGATCGTACTTCCTGCTGTGGTGACTTACTCTGGGAAGCTATACAGTCTTTACTATAAGACTCGTATAGTCTTCGTTGACGTTGTGTATACATATGATCTGTGTGTTCTTCAGGTACTGGTTCAGGAGGGAAGACGTATAACGAGAACGGCATACATCGACATATTACAGAGGACCACCAAAACTGGCTACTGCGATTCAGAGAGATTATTGAAGAAGAAGCCGACGATATTTTCGACTTGGTGATTGATCGATTCAAACACTGGTGATTTGCTCGCTTT